CTCTTTAAAATGTTTTAAATTTTGCTCCTTTGAAATGTGGTATTTATAGAACTATGGGTTGCACATGGATAAATAATGGTGTATTATTTTAATTAATCGAATGAAAAATATGGGGCAGTTGCATTTTGTAAGTCAGCATTTCTTGGACCATCCCAGGTTCCATAGTGGGGATGTCGGGTATTATTTTAAATTATCTAATGACAAATATGAGTTAGTTGCACTTTTGGAGTCGGCATATTTGGACTATCCCAGCCCCAAGTTCCTTAGTGTACAGTTTTCTACATACATGTTACCTAGCTAACACGTTGTTACCATTTCTTATATTAAAAGTTCTTTCTTATTCAATCTAGTATATAAATTGATAAAATTATTATTATTACTAAGCACAGGGAGTGACACTCTCAAATGAGAAGTCATGGGTTCAAGTCTCATTAGGAGACATAGGTGGTCACTACAAGAATACGGAGCTATAGAGACGACACCTATACCGACGATAACAGTTGTCGCTACAAGTCCACCTATGCCGACGACAAGTCGTCGCCACACATTTTGCCAACTTTAACCAAAATCCTTTGACCCGGATACCTGTACCGACAACATGTCATCTCGACAAGTATAGCGGGAACGACCAAAATCTTCGCGGTATACTGAAAACCTATGCCGACGACACGTCGTCGATATAGGTTTCGAGAAATCTATTTTCCAAATATTTATATTCCATGGTCCCGTATACCGGAACGACGTAGTTTTACGGAATCTATACCGACGACATGTCGTCGGCAGGCCACGTGACGATCTGAGTGAAAACCCTATACCGACGACTATTCATCGGCACAAATTTTTAATTTTTAATTTTTTTGTTTCAGCAAAAGTTGAAACGCCATCGTTTATTGAAACCCTATACCGTCGACTTGTTGTCGGCGTAGAGGTTTACCCTAACAGACCGCAGTCTGTCTTTCATTTGCACACATCGACGTAAAATTATACCCTCTCTTCCCGACGAAAATCAAATTAGAGCTTCCAAATTCCGGCGATTAGCACCGGGTAACATCTCTTGTACTCATATTTATTTCTTTATTGCTGTGTGGTCAAGGTTTTTACCCCTAATTTGGAGTTTTTTTTGTTGTTCATCGGTTTTGGTTCACTACAGTCGGCCTTCCACCATCTTCAGCCTTCCCCACCGACGAGTCCACCTCCGTCCAACTTCTCTCCTTCACTGCTACATCATGTAAGTGTTCATCGGTTTTGGAGTTTTTTTGTTGCTCATTGTTTTTGTTTTCCTGATTTGGTGTATTTCCGGTGACCACCAGCCACCACCGGAGGATACCTATCAAAGTTGACAATTAGAATACGGCCATCATAGCAAATAAAAAGAAACAGGTTAGTTTTTTTATTTCTATTTTTTTTGAAATTGAAATTGTATATACGTATAAGTTTATATGAAATGGGAATCCTTGTATGATTATGGGATTGTTTTTTTGGTATGTGTACGATTGTGTTGTTTGTTTGGTATGTGTACGATTGTGTTGTTTGTTTGGTATATGTATGTTTGTTTGTTTAGGTTTATGTGAAATTGAAGTTGTATATATGTATAAAATGTTAATTTAGTTGGTTAATGTTGTATGAAATTAAAATTGTGTTTAAAATATTATATGAAATTGAAATTTGTTTAGGTACATATGAAATTAAAATTGTATGTATACAATGTTAATTTACTTTCTTTAGGTACATATGAAATTAAAATTGTATGTATACAATGTAATTTACTTGTTTAGGTTTATATGAAAGCAAATATTTTGTATTATTGTGAAATATGTATGATTGTGTTATTTGTTTAGTTTATTAGCTTAAGTGAATGAAGTGATAACGTGTTTAGTTTTTAAGTTAAAATGTTTTGTCGTTAAGAACAAACGTTACTGATAACAACATAAAACAAAATATACAAATATTTAAACTAATAAAAGTACGTTTATCGAGAATAAAGTTTATTAAGTAAAAAATATTTAAACTACAATAATTTTTTTAGCTTGTTTATTAAAGTATTTTATTTTCATTTCTATTTGATACTTATAACATAAAACAAAATACAAAAAGTACATTGCTATTAAAAGTATGGTGCTATAATAAAACAAAAAATAAACAAAATTATATTAAAATTACAATGCTGTAATTGAAAAAAATAAAATGTATATATACTATAAATATGAAAGAGAAGTGAAAAATAGAATGCTTTAAACAAACTAATAAAAGTACATTGCTATAAAGTGTGTTTAGAAGCCTATCCTTGTGAATACTCTATCAATTCTGTCCGATTTCTACTTCCAAGGTATATATTTCTTTATATACTTGTGAATAACCTATCCATTCCGTTAGTTTTTTTTTTCTCAAACAAAAAGTCATACAATTTAACTATGTATACAATGTAATTTTTAGCAATGAAACAATAATGACGATCGATAAGACTTGGATTCGTGGAAACCAAACGTCCCCAAAATTCTTGGAAGGTCTTAAAAACTTTATGGAGATTGCTAGGAAACATGTTGACTCTAAAAACAAAGTGAGTTTTCCATGTGTAAAGTGTGTGAATATGTATTGACAGTTGTTGAGTACGGTTTATGCCCACATACATGACCGTGGGTTTCTAAAATCATATACTATATGGATTCATCACGGTGAGAAGCGCCCTGTTTCGGATTTGAGCTACAATTTGACTCCAATAAACATTCCAACAACTAATGAGATGTTTGATGTAATTAATGATGTTATGGCAGAACAAAATATAAATGAAGAAAATACAGATGATAAAGGATGATGCATGAACCAAGAATTTGATGCTTTATTTGAGGAGCTTATACCCAGATTGTGAGATGTATTCTTTAAACTTTTTAGCAAAGTTGTTGTATATTAAAGTGATCAATAAATGGACAAATAGTGCATTTGACACTATGAAGCTAAGAAAAACTTGAGAAAGATAGGGTTAGGATATGAGTCCATCCATGTTTGCAAATATGATGTGCTTTGTTTTGGAAGGAGAATGATTCTATGCAGAATTGCCCGATTTGTAACGAGAGTAGATGGGTGGACACAACCACAAAGGGGAAGCGAGTACCACCAAAAGTGCTGTGGTACTTTCCTTTGACTCCAAGACTTCGACGGATGTATAATTCCAGATTCACTGCTAAAGATATGATTTGGCATAATATTGGAAGATCAACGGATGGTATGATGTATCATCCGGTAGATGGGAAGTCATGGCAAGAATTTGATAAGAGATATCCAGAGTTTACCAAAGAACCTAGAAATGTTCGTCTAGGTTTAGCTACTGATGACTTTAATCCATTCGGCAACTTTAATAACAATTCTAGTATTTGGCCGGTTATATTGACTATTTATAATACACCACCATGGATTTTTATGAAAGAGTCTGCTTTCATGCTAACTTTGCTGATTCGTGGCCCTAGATCACTCGCAAAGGACATTGATGTTTACTTGAAGCCTTTGGTGGATGAGTTGAAGATATCGTGGGCCGAAGGAGTCCAAATGAGAGATGCATCAACCAACGCTGTATTCAATATGCGTGCGATGTTGTTATGGACTATCTATGATTTCCCAGCACGTAGCGGTCTGTCTGGATGGAGTGGTCAAGGTTATTTAGCATGCCCTACTTGTAACGAAGACATATCTTCCATTTATGTGACCAACAAGATGTCTTATGTTGGTCACAGATGATTCTTGAATATAGACCACAGTTGGAGGGAGAGTCTTTTGTGATGGATTGTGACAGAATTGTGACTAAGTTTTTCACTTGACCGCAAAATTTGAGGGGTTGCTTGGGACACCAAGTAGGTCCGCCCTGATTTTTAGCCCGATATTCTAAGGATGCGAAGGAAGTATAATTTGAATATTATTCTAATTAGAACTGCAAATTTAATAGATTAATAAACCTGATGGTTTTTTATATATTCCAAAAATGAAGGAACATCAAAATGTCGATATTCTCTACACCAAGAGTCTGACGGTGTTTCTGGAAGCAAATGATGTATATATTTTTAGTCTGAATAACAAAATGAATTTGTTTAGCCTTTTTAAGTGCCACTTAACATATAGACTAACAAAATTTGTTAATCAATATTTTGGGATTCTCTCTTGGATATATTTAACTTTGAAGCACTCTTGTCGAAACTCTCACACATGACAAATAGGTCAAATCTTATTTCTGGTTGAATGACAAATAAAAACTCAAAATCATTTATCATTTATAGAAGTATATAAGACACAGGTTCTTGGAAGTACGAGAAAACAAATACCATAAAGTTCAATTCTTCTTCATGGTTAAGTCCATCCATTTCTTTCAACTTTGGTATAATCTCAATTGACTTACCAAAACTCTTCACAAAAGATATAAGAAAAAAGCTGCAAAACAGAAAATATGTCATTTACTTGAAATTGTTGGCGTAATTCAGGAATTAGGCCTCAGGGGCATTTTGGAAATTTTTATGGAAACTTTCCTTTTAAGCATTATTTGTGTTAGTTTAGGATACCATCTGTTATAGTATAAATAAGGGTATTGTTTTATTTTTTTTTAATCAAGTATTCAGCAATAAGAGTTTCTTTTCCAGCAAGTATTTCACAGCTAGCGTTTTTTTCTTTCTTCCCCTGTTTTGCGCTGTTCTCTTCTTCCTTCCTTGCTTTTCTGTTCTGTTTTCTTTTCTTAGGCAAAAAGGTTGCATCAGGTAGATATCTAACAAAAATCGTGTGGCTTATCATAGTGAATGTAACTCAAAGAAAAATGTCAAGCAGTTATTAACCACTGTTTCTCATCTCCCTCTCCACAGTCTCATAGGCATGTTTGAAAGGGATTCTAGATATATTTAAAAATCACATTACAAGAAAATAAAATATCAGACAAGACGAGTACATATATAAAATATAACCGGACTAAAATGCGTTTTATTTTTGCTGAACCAAGAACATAACACACCACATATATTTAGTATTGATCAATAAGTTTGAGGATTTGCATGGATAAAACCCTCAATGGCCTTGAAAGTTTTTTTGAATCCTTCTTTTACCATATTGAGAGCTTCCTCCGGAAGCTGAGTTTCACCTTTACAATTATACACAATGGTAGGCTTGTATACACATCCTCCATCAGGTGAAGGTATAAACTTCACATGATGAGTCATCGAATCTAGTTGTCCCATCAAGATGTCTCCTTCAAAGATTGTGTATATAATACTGAAGTTGATGCTATCAACGACGTCAAGTTTCAACTTTCCACTTGTAAATGGGACGCCTGTGTTATCCCACAGTAAATTGGGTAAAGAAAATCAAAATACAAGTCAAACATTAAAATAATTTAAAAGAGTATATATAAAAATCTATTTAGATCTTACTAACCATCCCCAAAAGAGATGTCCCTGATAGTTCCAGCGCCTCCATCACCTTCGATGTCCACTAGGGTTTTGTATGTTTCTGGATCGACCTTTGGTGCAATGTTGTTAAAGTCACGATAGGCATTGAAAATTTTGGAAGCTGGGATGGAAGAAGAAATCTCGAACTCAGAAGTTATAACTGCCATGATATTAAATCACTCTTTAAATTGTTTTGAATTTTGCTTCTTTGAAATGTGGTATTTATAGAACCATGGGTTGCACATGGATGACTAATGGCGTATTATTTTAATTTATTGAATGATAAATATGGGGTGGTTGCATTTTGTAAGTCAGCATTTGTTTGCATACATTCCCAGGTTCCATAGTGGGTATTATTTTAAATTATCTAATGACAAATATGAGTTAGTTGTACTTTTAGAGTCGGCATATTTGGACAATCCCAGCCCCAAGTTCCTTAGTGTACTGTTTTCTACATACATGTTACCTAGCTAACACGTTGTTACCATTTCTTATATTAAAAGTTGTATCATATTCAATCAAGGATATAAATTGATAAAATTATTATTATTATTATTATTATTATTATTATTATTATTAAACACATGGAGTACAAAATAGCCACTACAAGAAATATCGGTATTAACGGCGACACCGGCTATTAGCGGCGACATGTAATTGACGCGTCACCTGTCGCCGCTAATAGTTGGTGTCACTGCTAATGATGCTACAGTATCGATCCGCATCAAATCAACCATGTACGTTCGATCTGTTTTTCATCCAACGGTGGGAAACGAGGAAAAAGGGTGCCCAATTTCTTCTCTATTTTCTATTCAACTTTTGTTTTTGAGTTTTATTTACTGGTTTTAAGTGTTTAATTTAATGTTTTTTGAACCCTTGTCGGAAAATCTACTTCTACTGAATCTGTTGACGGAATTGTTGCCGGAAAACTGGATTTCTTACCGGAAAATCGCTAAATTACACTAGCACGGGTTCCTTTTCATGACTTTTGAAATTATATATGTGATTTGTATGTTTTTGTAAGTTATTTGTATGGTTATTATTTGGAATTTGGAATGAATTGTCGCCGAATTGTGTTTGTAGGTTATTTGTATGTTTTTGTGTGTTATTTGTATGGTTATTATTTGGAATTAGGTTGCTATAATAGAAAAATAAGTATGATGTTATAATGAATATGTGTAGGAAAATGTTTATATGTATTTGTATGTATAGTGTATGTATTTATGTATGTAATGTGTGAAAAACAAAGTGTGTATATTACAAAGAGTAATAATTTTCAAATCAAATTTAATATTTATGTGGTATTTTAGTTTTAAAATTATTCATAATCATAAATTGTTTTGTAAAACTATTAAATTAAATTTTCTATTATTAATTTACATATTAAATATAGTTATAAGAAATATAGTTATTCATAATCATAAATTGTTTTGTAACTAACTTTTATTCATATTGTATTTCTATAGTGTACATTTTTTAATTTTACAGGCTACAAATGAGGTCTACGTGGACGATATTCTTTGTTATGATGGTCGATATTATGGGCCTTGGTCACGGGGGTGATGGAACTGGGGATCCACCATCTCCTGGAGGCTTTGGTCGCGGGCAACATGAATAAAATGGTAAGTTTTATTATGATATATTTATTAACTATTTTAATTAATTTATTATAAGTTATGATGACTAATATTTTTAATTGTATTTTTTCAGTTGAGCTTCCAAAGAAAAGAAGGGGCTTGTCAAAGAATAGAGTTAGGAAAGTGGATAAGGGCAAACAAGGGAAAGAATGTGGATTTGAATTTTGACAAGGAGATCACATATTCCCCTGTCGGGAAGCCTGCCAATTGGTTCACACTTGAAATTGGGAGGTATTTGTGGAACAACGGTTAGGACAATGTTTCCCTCGCGTTAAGGAATGCGACAATTGTGCATCTAAAGCTAACTTGAATAATATTTTAAGTTTCGTTGTGATTGTTATTTAATTAACTAACTTTTTTGTATTTGTAGAATAAGTTTAATTTGGATAAGGTTAACTTGGATCCGGAGTGTGCACAATTGTTACGGAGCATTGATTCGAGCCTTGCAAAAGTTTAAAGAGGCCGAAAAAGTAAAGCACATTCTTATTTTAAGATATCCCAATGGTACTAAACAACCCCCCCCCCCCCCAAATGGTATGTCACCAAAAAATTGGACGAAGGCAGTCGAACATTTTCAATCGCCTGAATTTTTAAGTCGTTCGCCGTCAAATAAAGAAATATGTGCAAAACAACTAGTTGTAAACAGAGGGGGTCGAGCTCATACAGTAATGCATGCTTCAGAGAAGTAAGTTATGATATATTTAAATGTTTATTTAAGGTATAATAAATCAATTTTTTTTGTTCAATAGGATATCACTCAAATCGAAGCATTCCGTAAAGCTAATTCCAATCGCCAATGGTGTTTTATAGTCCAACAGTCGAGCAACAATACGTAAGTGGTTAATTTGTATTTTCATATAAGTGTTTATATCATCATGGGTATTTAGTAATCTATTTTTATGATGTTTATCATTTTTTGAAAATACAGAATGCTTAATTCAGGAGATCGATCAACAAACCCAAGCTTCTTCTTCAGCAAGCGGTCTAACAGCAAGTGATACTGGAAAAGTTTTGAAAAAATATTGGGTGTTCGACGTGGATATATTAGATGCATTGGGCGTAAATCCCCTACCCTTGTGTCTATGTACGATCAAGAACAACTGATGACACAAGAACCACCACAATCATAGGTAATTGTTTGTTTAAGTTGAAAAGTATAATGCTATAATGCTATAATGATATGTTAGTATTTTTTGAAAAGTATAATACTATTATGATATATTTGTAATATATTTTGATTTCTTTGTAGATGGAAATGTTGCAAACGATACTGAAGGACCCGATATGTTCTGCGGCATTAGAAGAGTGGTTTCGTATATTGTCACCACCAAATAATGAAGGAAATGATGAGAGTGATGGCGAGGAGTAGGAATTTTAGGATTTTATGAAATGTTTGTTTAGAAGAATTCTTTAATTAGGTTGTATAGACTAATATTTTTGATTGTGGATTAATATTTTATAATTGTTATATTGTTTTTGGTTGTGTATGGGTTAAATATAATTGATTTTATAAAATTGTAGATTTATATTCCATAAAATTGTAACAAAAAAAATGAAAAGACTCTTTTGCAGTGATGCTTTTAGCAGCGGCATATAAGTATTAGTAGCGACGAGTTTTTAGCAGCGATAGGTAAGTATTAGCAGTGACGGGTTTTTAGCAGTGACAAATAAGTATTAACGGCGACAAGAAAGGCATTAGCGACTAAGTATTAGTGGCGACGTGTCGCCGCTAATACTTTTTGCGGCGACAAACCTACTCTTTTGCGGTGACGGCTGTCGCCGCTAATACCCGTATTTCTTGTAGTGAGCCTTTGGCCTAGCCGTAAGGAGTGACACTTTCAAATGAGAGGTCATGTGTTGAAGTCTCATTAAAAGACATAGATGGTATTTAGCAGTATATTAGTTTGTCGGTTCAGTATAAAAAAAAGCATACGGTTATGCTAATATGTAGGTCAATCGCTAAGGACAACTTTATGTTTCTTTGGAATATGGAGAAAATTAACCGTGCATATATTGATAAAATTCTTCAATGTCCAAAGTTGGTTTGGGCACTGTCCACCATGCAAGGAACCAATGAGCATACATGTATTCTTTTTCATTTAATTTCATTATTATTCAGATTTTGATGTTATTTTATTGACAATGGAGAGATAAATAAGTTCTACCGGTTGCCATATGTGACTATGTATTTTTAAAAAAAAAAAAAAGGCAATATGTGGATATGTTACTTCTATCCTATTTCGTTTTTACAACTAACATTGCTTACTAATTTTTTAATCAGATAGCATGAACAAAATGCGAATTTTATTTCTTATTTCTGTCTAAGATTGTTTCTCCAAGATCAGTTCCAGAGGCTAAACACCAAGGACATTAGTTATCAGGTTTGATAAAAAATCAACTTTATAAATTATTATATTGCTTGCATATTTTTCTGTCCTATCATTTTAATATAATTTGATGGTAGTTTTTGTTTTTTGAGAATTTTGCTCATGAGTTTTTGAGTTTAGTATGACTGCTCTAATGGCCTAGCAGGAAAGGGCTTTTGGCATTTTCATTTGAAATAGGTTTCTTTATTTTTTAATGTCAATTTGTAATTCATTACATTAGTTGAGATAACATACCAGCAAAAACTTATTTCGAGTTTGAATATATCTTTTATGCTAAAGCACATGCTAATAAAAATTTATACATTTCTTCTTTAAATGGAGAAAGTAGACTAACAATTCATCGTTAGAGTTGATGTTCATCTGCTCTTCTTCTATTCACATCTCTTTTTTGCAATCAGATGTGACGCTACAAAATACCAATATTATTTTTTTCTAGATAAATTACTAGAATGTGTTTTTATCTCCATTTTCTCATGTTAAAAGTGATGGTGCTTGATTATGTAAGTTGTAATTTACTTTGCTTTATGTTTTAATTATATAACACAATATTTTGTTCAAATTCATCCAACTCACAAGATTTGATAATATTAATAGTCATACAACACTCGAGATTTTAGAAAAGTTGAGATTGTAACATGTATTAGGAAGTAGTTTTATCACATAGAATGTGTAAATTTAGAAGCAATTCCCTAGTTCTTCATTCATGATTTGATTTACTTTTGCTTTTTTATATTTTTTCATTTTTCACTTCTCAGTTTTAATGTGTTGGGACTCAACATGGATCGAAGAGTATGTCTATCTTTGCACCGAGTACGTATTTGGAATAGGAATGAACTGTTATGAGAATAAGAATAAAGGACATTGGTTTGGAATAAAAGGGTATTATGGTCTTTTCTGGTTATAGTTAATTGCGATAGTTATTTTCAAGGGTGTGTGAAGCTTCAAGTCTATGGTTGGTAGGGAGAAAGGCAATGGTTTGTTGTTTTAAATATTTGGTGCAATAGAAAATATAAGGGGTATTTTGGCCCATTTTTTGGAATTTTACATGAAAATGGTTTTTTTCAAGATCGCTGTAGAAGCAATTTTATCCGTTGGGTTCGTCAATTCAAAAGCAAGAGGGCCGAGGGGTATACTTATTATTAA